CCCAAAAAAGGTTAAAGGTTACCTCTCTACCATGCAGCACTGGTCACTGGATATGGATGGTGACATGGCCCCTCTTCGGAGACCGGCCCTGCCTCGCGTGCAGAGCTGAAAGTTGGTCTGGGGCCAGGCTGCTACCTGGACCCGGGTAGTTCTCTAAAGTAGGATCCCTTTTAGGTCCCCAAAATGGTATGGCACCAAGAAACAGGACCCGAAAAGGGATGCTAATTAAGAGAACTGCCCAGGCGCACAGGCTTACAGAAGCCAGGGTCCAGGCTACTGCTGTAGGGGTCTTAATAATTAGAATAGGGTTTTGGGGCCCATTGTATTATGTTCGTGATAAGGAACCCGCAACATAGTATTGGTAATTATTTAGCCCTATATTACACCCAACATGCTCTAAGTCTTGGTCAGACATATAATGAAACACGTTGCAAGCCCAAATTCCTGTAGAATAACAGGGAACCGTCGCTGAAAACCTCCAAAAACCTGCGAAACAGGCTTTCCGGCCAAGCACTTTGTACTATTATTTACAGTACACAAAAAAGTTAAGGCAGGTTTCTGTTATCCCTACTGAAACGCCCCGGAGCCTCGTTATGGTTACCTGCTAAGTCCCATCATCCTCCAAGTACAAAAAGCCAAGGATCGAGGCTAGGAGCTCTTGCCAGAGATTGGCTTTAGCGTTTAGCTTTGAGAAAAGCTCTCAGAAAAGCCAAGGGTTTAGGGTCTGCAGCCATGTGAAAGCAGTACGAAGGGTTCACTTGGTTTCTGCTGCCCCGTTTCCTGCCCCTGAAACCAATACCACCCGCAACAACCGCCCTTTCCTCCCCTACCCCGGCCAGCAGCGTCAGCACAGCCGCACGACGAAGGTTCGCCCTGGTTTTACTTGGCCAGGTAAGTGGACAAGGAGCCTTGATGTTAAAGATGAGGAATTCAGTAGGCTGTACTCGTCCTCCCATAGGAAACAAGAAAGTACCCAAGCACAATGTCTTGAAGATAATCTTACGAAGAGCCAAGCCTTGATACGTTTCTTTGCGTGTTTGGATCCTTTAGCCGATGCTACTGAAGCAGCATGACACATCTTCCAAGTTGTGGGGTTTGCGTGGGATGTATCTGACTCTGTGCATCGGTATAGATGTTTCTGCGAAGTACGTACGACATGGTTGCCGGTCTATCTAGCTACTTGGTCTTTCTATCCTATCCATTGCTAGGTCCCCTTGTCTAGCTCCCCATTAAGCCAGCTGAAAATGCCCTTCCAACCCCCAAATTCCTTGACAACTGTTCACCTAAACCCCAATGCCCAAGAACCTAAACCCCAAAAGCCCAATCATGTCGATGGTTCCCAGTGGGGGTATAATGACACCGTTGCTGACATGTAGATCCCTTAATGGGGGTTCCTATATAAAGTACCCCTAGTAGTATAGGGCCCCAAATTAGGGGATCTACTTTCTAGTCACACCGTTTGGCAGACGGAGGAAGCCAGAGACTGCATCTTCAGGCTTGGAGTTGTTCGAAAACGTGGGGAATAGACGTTTCAGCCTCGTCGTCCTCTCTAATCTGGACTTACATGCAACTGACCCGAGGGGAAGATGGAATGGAATAGAATAGAATGAAATCGAATAGAACAAAACCGCACAGAACAGAATTGAATCGAACAGATTAGAATAGAAATAACATTCTCCACACATATATATACATATGTGCGTATGTATTTATCTATTCATTATATCCGAATATGTCCCCATATTCCCTATGAAATCTTGTTGTTACAAAAGCTAGTATTCTAACTTCGGCTTCCCGAGAGCCCTGAAAAACACCTTAACCAACGCCTTCCTCTCGAGGGCGCAGCGGCACCATGGGTCCTTGCTGGCTGTGAAAATGGGCGTCACTAAGAAGCATCACTTAAATCATATGATCACTAGTACCATTGTTGTCAAATTGTTGTCGTTATTTTCATTCGTACCACCACGGTTTTTCTTATTCTTGCTAGATTGATTATGATTATTCTTCTTATTCGTATCAAGGAGTCCTCTGTATCACAAGGAGTAGTTTAAAATGTCTAGAGCGGGATTTGGACACTAAGGCCAAGCCCAAAGTAAAGATGGTGCGATTTCATGCCTGCAGCAAAGCACGGGTCACTCCAGAAACAGGGCTTAGGGTTCCCAGAGACTCCAATATCCTTTAAAATTCAGAAACATGATACCTTGAACCATATTATGGATCCTACTACAATTTAAGGTATATGCCTTAATTAAGGGATATTGGAGTCTCTGGATTTAGGGTTACTCTGCAACTTCATGGTGTGCTTATGTTGCTTTTGCGGCTTCCTAATTTACCGTGGCGGTACAACACATCCGCGGTGCCGGAGCGCTTGGCATTGACTGTAGAGCATCGGCAGCCTTCCCAGCACCAGACAGCTGGGGCTGGGGCTGGCATACAGAGCTCTCCATGGCGACAGCTCAAAAGCAGCAAGCAACGGATACGAGACTGCTGGTCGATCTACTGGCTTAGTGTGGCTTGTGCCTCATTGGCCTGACGTACCATGCGTACTTCGCATGGGTGCTCTGGGCTCGGAGACGGCCCTCCATGCATCTCTTGGTTTGTGATGGGAGGCATGGTTGCTGATTCGGGACGTAGATGATTTCAAAAGCAGGGCTCATGGTAGATGGCTGAAATGGACATGATGCCCTTCTGTTGCTGTGCTGGAGCCCATCACGCCGAGCAGCCGTGGGATGACTTGGGAGCAGCAGAATCCTGCGGCACATCATGTCCGACTTGTCATGCTATCTCATGCTCCTTTTTCGCATCCGCCGTCAGGCCTCACGCAGATCAAGTGCTAGCCTCTCGATGGCCAAGAAAACCAGCCCAGGACGTCGCCTTAAAACGCGGTCTGCTTGATGAGGCGTGAGACGTTCTGCTGCGTGAGACGTTCTGCTCGGTCTACAACAGAGTGACGATCCCAAAGATGAAAGCCGACAGAACGACAGTTCTGCAAGTGCCTGCAAAGGCCGGCGACCCGGAGGTATTGGGCAAAGTCGTTGTAGTCCAGCTGGAAACGGAATCCATGAAGCCGCTCTCGCATCCTTCGGGCTGGCTAAGACGAGATCTTCGTTCAGCAAGCAACGGTTGCGGCTGGCCTCAGCTTCTCAAATAGGGCCCTTACAAGCTTTAGGGAGGAGGTCCGCAAACACAGGGGCACAGCCTTTCCTTCTGCAAAATACAATAACGGTGTGTGGGGAATGCAGGGGCTTTCATAGTTAGACCAGCGTTGGGGGCTTGACTGTATTATCCATATTCCGGAACCTTGATGAATATCGCTCTAATTATGAAGGCCCCTCTGCTACTCGGCGACCTAGCGACAGGAGCCCCGGTTCGTGCCGTCGCAGTAGGCCTCGGAGCCAGTCCCCCTCTCGTTCCGTGGCTCGTAAAGCATCTGCCAGCCGAGACCTGGAGATTCGAAGTCGAACATGTGCACGTCGGAGATGGGGTAGATCCCGAAGTTGTGACAAATCAGGTCCCCCTGAGCCGTGTAGAACCTGGGATAGTCCAGTGCCCAAACCATGGCATCACGCCTGTCAGGACGATTGGCAGCATACACCGCACACCAAGAGCTGGTTGCAATGTTGTACAGGTACATCTGGACATCGTCGGAACACGTGCCACCCCAAAAGAGCAGCGCGTCCAGAGCCTGGATGTACTCTGCGGCATGCGACGCCAAGCGACTGGGCCCGGGACCCTCTGTCGGCACAAGCTCAATCTCGAAGGTAGAGACATTCCAAAGCCATAGCTGCGATCCATAGCGCTGTCGGTTGCCATCAAGACCCCCGTTGATCCAAACGACATGCCTTACGGGGTCGTAGGTCATGCCATGACGATACACCTGCAAGATATTGCTGCCTACGAGCGACCAGGCCATCTGTTCCAGGTCAAAAAGCCATGCATCCGACAGGACAGTGGTACCTCTTCGGCCACCCAGAAGCAGCATCTTCGTTTCGGAGAGCTTCACCGTGGCATGTTTGTAGCGCTCCGATGGCCAAGGGCCTTGAACTTCCGCAGGGAGCAGCTCTTGCCAGATGTTGTCGAGCAGAGAATACCTCCAGAAATGGCCTGTTGCAGCATAGCTGGTGTCCCCGCCACCGAAGAGATACACATGAGTGCTGTTCAGAACGGTTGCTGTGCTGCGATAGCCTACTGCAGCGGGGCTGTCGGCAAGCCTCTCCCAGCACTTGGTGCCATTGCCACTGATCCGGAATCTCCAGTTGGTGCTCACAACACCTCCCCGGTTATCCTCGTGGCTCGTGGTGTCTCCACTGAAGGTGTAGATGTACTTCTCACCACTCACGGTGTAGAGGCCACCACTGGCGGAGTATCGACCCCAGGGTTCCGCTGCACAGCTGAGGGCATCAGAGCGGCTTTGGATCTGACCCAGCACGGAACCGGTCGAGCATGAGGCGAGCACAAGGAGGAGCAGCGACATGGAGGCTCCGGTCCGGGGTGTTTTGAGGCTCGCTGCGGGATTCGAGCCTCCCAACTGCCGGAAACCAGGCTGCCATGTCAGAAACCAAACACACCATCCCAAGTCCATGACTCAACAGTGCAGATGCATCCTGCGAGTTTCGGGGTTTAGGCGGCTTTCACAGACTTGTGCTTCATGAAACTTTCAAACCCTCAGACTTTCAGAGACTTGAAGCCTTCAATGGAAGATGCCTTTTTCCCCTGCAAGCCGCTGCTTGTCGGACATTCCTGCCCCCGAAACAGTCAACAGGGTCAGTGCAATCCCCAAGCCCCTGCATGCTATTAGTTGACGTTGTAGTATCACCGCTAGACTACACTATTAGTTTGCGTTGAACATCATATGCAGGGAAGTGTGTGGAAGGGTTTCTGCCTGGCTCAACGCATGTTTCCTGGCTGATCTTGGGAAAGCTTGTGATGGAAACCTGCACGTTTAGTTAGATCCCTAGCTTTGGTAGGGCATAGCGGCAGCAGCGAGATGGGCGTGTCGACTAGTCATCGATAGCGTCGGTTGTAGTGAGCACATCATCGATCTTCAAGATCATCTTTACCACCTGAGATAGGCTCACACTCACCGGTTCAGGGTTTAGGGGTTTAGGGTTGAAAGCATAGAGTTTTAACCTGCCACACTGACCCCATCAAGTGAGATGAATGCGGGTACAACCACCAACAAGGTTGCGGCAGATTGAGGGGGAAGTTTGATGGCTGAGTACAGCCACAGTACAGACTCAGGGCCTTGGGTTTGCGACTGCCAAAGGAACAGGAAGACTCAGGGGTAGGTCTGGACTTATCCAAGCTAGGCCGGAAGCTGTGCAGGCTGGGTAGTTTTTGTAGGGGCAGCCCTTTTCCTAAACTCGAAACCGCGAAGCCCCATACCCTAAACCCTGAACCTGCGTTTCTGTATCTTATGCTGCGCACGGCAAGGTTTTTACAGTATTGGTGTCTTGCGCGTATTCCTGCTTTTACCCTGAGGCTGCTCGGTCGGGCATTTTGTGCTGTACTCGAGTGCTCCCTACTTGCTGCTCCCTTTGCTCTGTGCTGTCTACTATCTGCTGTACGAAACTATACTACTCAATACCACACTATAATTCACTATACTGTATGGTGTATTTGCAATTCCAGAGGAACGACCTCCTTGTTCTGCGAAGCTCTGAAAACCAGATGCTATGTCTGTTGTGCGGTTTCAACACGGAGGCGCGCATGTGCCGAAGTACCCAATCAACACACCCTAACCCTAAAGTACCCTTGAATGAACCCTTTGACGGGTGGTTGTCAAAATTAGGGCGCCTTTTTGGGTACCCTAAATAAGAGGTGCCGTATTATATTAAGGACCCCAAAAGGGACCCTAATTTAGACAACCACCCAAACAGAATCCTTACCGGAACGTCATGCACCCCGGTACGAACCCGGACGATCTGCAGGGTTTTGGGATGCCCTTCGCGTTTTGGAAGCAGGCGAGTCCTAATAAGTCCCTGAGGGATGGAGTGATCTAGGGGCCTTCATAGATAGGATAGGGGTTGGGGAGGTATGTTATACCATTTTTAAAAGAAGGAGCCCCTAGAATGGTATTGGTAATTTTTTGGGCCCCTACATTAAATCCTCATAATAGCCGTTATGGTAGCCCTTCTAGTAGCCCCTGTAAAGGAACCCCTTTAATTTAAAGGGCCCCTGTATTAAGCTCGGCACCTGGGTGGCCAAGCGCAGCTGAGAGCTCTTAGAGGCGCACGCCTCGGACAGCGAAGTTTCGGGACTTCTAAGATCAAAGGTTGGGCCCCGTCCCGGCTCATACCTGATGTACTAGTACAAAAGTACCATAGTACTATAGTACTATGATAGTACTGTAGTTTACTAGAGTACTAGAGTACCATAGTACTGTAGAAGATGACCCATCAGACGATTCGTATCTGCGTGAGGATCAGAAGCTGCGATAGGTCTTGAAGTTTCGAGCTCGCTGCCCTGAAGCCAGAGTGCTTCTGTTGATGATATAAACCCTGCATTACCTCAGAAATCCTAAACTATGGGAATTATGGCATTATCGTACATGCCTTTTTATGGGTAATGCAGGATTTATAACATCAACCGTTGCATGTTGCATGGGCATGTCGCACCCTGCAAGTAATGATTCTCCGCTCAACCTTTCGGATCCCGAAGCACAGCATCCAGAAAGGCCTGTGAATCTCTGAGCCTTCCTTAAGCCCCCTCTTAAGTCCGTTTAAGCCCCCCTTTAGGCCTCCCGTTTTAAAACCCTCAGGTGACCTCGTAGATGCTCTGTGCCCACATATCCGTCGTTCCGGTCTGCATGCAGTCAACACCTCAGGGTGGGCGTTACTTGGCCATGCCTCGGGGGTAGATTATACTGTCATCATAAGGAACCCCCCGAAATAGTGATGTACTGTAGCGGGCTTAATAATCAAAATAAGGCTCGGGGGTCCACTATACAACTATTATCATAAGGAACCCCCAAAATAGTCATGTAGTATAAGGGCCTCAATAATGAGAATAGGGTTTTGGGGTCCATTCCACTACTATTATAAAGGAACCCCCAAAATAGTATTGGTAAGTAAGTAGGTCCTAGTACCCGTGCATCCCCTCTCTCTTCTGCGGGCCGGGAAGGGCAGTACGAACGCAAAGCTGGGTGCCAGCCATGAGAGACAACACCCTCTCCTTCTGGAAACTCTTACCTTTGGTTAGTAGGGAATGGAGGAATGGGGTACAATTATAACTACTATTACTACCTTTCTTCCATTCCCTACTAACCAAAGGTAAGAACTGTGGTCCACTGGTTCTCCGCCCGCTCCCAAGGCAAAACTGCTCAGACATCCGCAAAACCCACAGCTTCCGGAATCCCAACCGGTGAAAACTTTGGATTCAACACTCTGAGTCGATGACCATGCCAGGCATTTCCAGACGTCTCCTGGATCGCCTGGAAAAGCGATGAATTCAAAGGGCTCCAAAGGTGGAATACTCCCAATTAGGAGTCCTTACAACGGGGATCCTTCATCCTACCAAACTTCATCCCGCCTTTTGAGGCTTCCAGCTCGGAAGTTCAAGAGTGTTCGAAGTCCTTTCATGCTGTCAGTGCCTGGGGCACGTAGGTTGTATGTTATATTATGGTTCCGAAAGTAGGGGACCCGTAAGGTATCCCCAAATTCTCGGAAACTCCCATATTAGCATATTGCAGTATATTAGACTCTGCTATGCTGCATCACAGCACATACTACCTGGCATACGGCAGACTGCAAAGGATCCTGAAAGACAGGCGCCGAAATGCCCGAAGCATCGCTATGAGCATTCTATAATAAGCCCTGGAGGGCCTTGAGCTTCGCCATCTCTGCAATCCCCTGAAGGCCGCTGTTTTCAGCGAGTGCCTGGAGGGGTCTTCTGTTGAGCAGGACCGATACCTTGAGAACTGGGTCTAATTAAACTGGCTCTGTGGTTTAATGGGCCAGATTCTAAAAGAGCTTTGGCGAGTAGGCACATCTCATCGGGGCTGGGAGCTGGAACCATTTCGGACGTCGTCGGTCGAAGAAGCTATCAGCGGACATACACGGAGACAAGCCAAAGAGTAAGCATGCCGAAATCCTGGGGAGCCCACCATGGGAATCACGTCTAGCGCAGATGCGAAGCCCTTCATGCTGTACCTCGCTCAATCCATGAGGCACGAAGGGCTGAAAGCAAGTCTGCAACTCCGGCAGAAAACTGCAACCAGCCGTAGAGGGGATGGTGAGAGCATCCTCAAATTCCAAGGCCTGGGTCGTACAGTAGCAGAGCCTGCTCGCTCATCAAGATCTTTGTACACCTACAAACGCCCGTTGTTGAAAGTGGGAATGAAGAAGACGCTGTTCATTACGTGGGTCAGCTTCGGATTTAACCAGAACCTTGGCCTCAGAATACATATGGCCCATGTGTTCGCGGCATGTCCAAGAGGTACAAGTATGAGGCAAGGCAAGCGAGCGCACTGGTCAATCGTCTGCTCCTGGAGGCCCAGCTTTTTCGGAGGTTTGGGGCATCTCGGCAGGGGAGCTCCCTACTTGGCAATCCTTGGAACTTACTAAGCAAGCCTTCGGAACTCTTGCACTCCTGGGCTCCGGACTGCTACTCTGACTAAATAAGATCACCAATCAGAATCAGAATAGGAATAAGAATAAGGAAAAAAAGAACAATAATAATAATACTAAAACTAAGATTAAGACTGTTCATAAGAGTCAGGATAAGGACAATGAAGGTAGTGATGACCACAACTGACAAAACTCCCCAAAGCTCCTTGTCTGCAGCTGCCAGAACTGCCAAGGATGCAGCCATCTCGCTGGCTCCTTCCCGAAAAAACCGCCGAGGATTCAGTGACAAAGCCGGGCAGGAATCTGATGATTATTGTCATTATTGTGTTCTTATTACTTATTGTTGTTGTCATTGCTATTGTTTTTGTTCTTTGAGTTACTACGTATTACTATTCTTCATACATGCGAGCACCGTGGGTGCTCCCAACCTCCTCCGGGAACAACTCGCGGATCTCGAATTAGATTCCTTCGCAAAGCCGGGCAGAGCATTGCATGCAGTCATGAATCTCTGCATTTTAGGTGACGGCCCACGAACGGCAGGTGCTTCTGCGTTGTTTTGGGGGGTCCGGGAAAGGTGCGGAAGGCCTCATCGAGCACAACCGGCTATTTGGAAGTGGAACCGAATGCTCAACATCCTGAAAGCATCCGGGGAGTCCTGACGCAGCAATTTGCATCATGGAGACATCTCTTCGCCTCGTCCACTACCTGCACTTTTCTCCCGTCTCCAAATGGGTGCTAGCTGGAATTCTTTGCAGACCTTGCAAATCTGACATGGGAAGAGTCAAACTAAGCGAAAGGTTCACCGGTTTCTGTGGAGGCTGCTTTGTGCAACATTTGCTCGATCCTGAACAGGACGTATTCTGAGTCCGGTCTGATTTGAAGTGGCGTGGCCCTCTGCACAGCATCATATAGATTCCTGGAGTCAAGAAAGACATGCGCATGCTAGGTCAAAGAAACTAAATGCCATCACATGTTCCCAAAATGTTTTCCCGTCGTTTTGCTACAGTAGGATGACAAGCCACTACCCGTTCGTTGGGCACTGTCCCTGCTGAAGCCAACGACACCAACAACAGGGCACTCAAGAGGTTAAAAGATCATTCACGGTAGCTTATCCTCGAAGGTCTATCAGATCACAGAGTGCGACATCGAAGCCCGTCCCGCCATCTGGTTGCCGCCGCGAACAAGCACGGTGACCGCTTTGCTCTTGCCACACTCCTTCAGGGTTTTTCAGGTTGCATTTTAGAATGGGAAGATGGCCGACAATCAGCGGCGCGTATGAGGCAGGACTTATTCGCGGCAGGGTTCAGGCCTCACAACCGTCTAGCAACCTGTATAGCAACCCTTACCTTAGAATGTGAGCCCTTTAAGTCAACTTTATAGCAACCCTTCTCGTAACCCTTCTAGAAGCCCCTATAGACTCCTCCTTATAGAACCCTGGACCCCTATAGCAAACCCTTAAGGGAATCCTTAAAGGAACTCCTATAGTAACCCTTTAAGGAACCCTTTAAGGACCCCTTTAGTAACCCTTAAGGGAACCCTTAAAGGAACTCCTAGAACAACCCTTCAAGGAACCCTTTAAGGACCCCTTTAAGGTCGCCTCGATGATGAGCATTTGCTCTTTCATCGTGCCGAAGGTGACCTCGCGGACCAGCCCTGCCTCGCCGCTTGGGACGGAAAGGCTTCAGGGTTTAGGCTTGAGGGCTTTTTGTGTTTTTTAGGCTTTAGGTTTTTGCTTTAGGCTTTAGGGTCCAAGGGTTTAGGGTTCCGGGGTTTAGGGTTTTTGGCTTCAGGGTTTGGGGCTTCAAGGGTTTAGGGTTTAAGGGTTTAAGGCTTTAGGGTTTGGGGCTTGAGGCCTGAGGGGTTCGGGCCTTAGGGCTTAGAGGCTTCGGGTTTCGGGGTTCGGGCTGAGGGTTCAGAGGCCTGGGGTTTTAGGGTTTAAGTGGCTTTAGGGTTCAGGGCTGAAGGGGTTATGAATTCAGGAGGAGGTTGCTTCCATGAGGTGTTTGGGCTGAAGTGGATTCGAGGCTACGAGCGTTTGGGTGCTGGTATTATTTCCCTGGCTGTGATCTGCTGAGGTATGGTCTTCAAATGCCTGAGCGCTGGCCTCAAGATATATAGTAGCCCTTACTTACCCGAACACTGATAGTAACCCCTAGACAGGAACCCTTCTGACGCCTCAACCTACCAGCTCACATCCATGCCCCGCGACCTCGGTCGGTCCTTCAGACGCGGCCCACTGAACATTCGTCCTACATTGATGTGAACGGTTGATGGTATAGATCCTGCATTACTTTAGGGACCCTAAACTATGGGATATATATGGTATGTTCCTTATTATGGGTAATGCAGGATTTATATCATCAACAGGAAACAGGAAGCCCAGCCTTTCCGAGCTTGTCGGCAGTCAACTCCTCAAAACGTGGAACGATCCTGCCGGCCGATCTTGGGTGTTCCAGCGAAACAAATCCCGGAACACCACATCATGAAACCGTGAAGACCATCTGAAAAACTCCGTTTCCTCCCGCCAGTGGCGATGGCGATGAGCTCTAGCTCCACACCGCCAACCCACCTCTGCAAATGCTTTTCCACACAGAGATCAGGCTTTCCACAGTTTGAGTGTGAACCGGCTGCAAAAAAAAACATCCGGAAAGCATGCATCAGCAGGTCATCAGGAACCCGGGAAAAGGAGATCGGATCGCCTCACAGCTGGAAGCTTGTTCTGGAAGAGCAGGTGGTTGGCCTGCACGGGGCATCGTGAACACAACCCATACCAGCGTTTCCGGAGCCCTGCTGTCAAGGGTTGAAGACCTGGGACCAAAGAGAGATAGCGGGAGTTTTGCATGCTCGGCATTTTGGGTTTCATTTCAGTTAGGGTTTAGGGTTTGGGGTTTAGAGTGGCCTTGGGCTCTTGCTGCATTTCCTAAGCGGGCCTCGTCGTCGAAGCCCCACTGGCAAATCACCAGATTTGCACCTGACTCCTGGCTTAGAATAGTCTCAGGGCAGGGGGGGAGAGAGAGTGAGAGGGAGAGAGAGAGAGAGAGAGAGAGGCGACCTGACCTGGAGCGAGATAAAGCTGGGAGTTGGGAGAATGCTTGGCGCGAGCTGTGCAGGAAAAGTCCTGGATGAGTCGGATCTGCTCGCGAAAGTACCTGCTGCATGCACGAGATGCCAAAGGTAGGGGCCTTAATAATTAGAACAGTATGTTTGAATTATGATAAGGAGCCCCGACAACAGTGTTGGTATTTATTTAGGCCCCATATTAACTTAACAGCAGGCAAGAAGGCACCTTACCCAATCCCGACGGAGCACTTCTGTTCATGCTCGTACAGCTTCTTGTAATCCTCACCGGTGCGGATGTCGAGCTTGTGCTTGGTCTTCGGCCTCAATGGGGTTGGGAAGACTGCTTGCACAATGAGAGTCGGTAAACCGATGAACCTCAGACTGCTCCACCCGGAGGTCCAGCTGAGGTGTCTCGTGCTCCCCAAGAACATACGACTGTTGAAGGACCCGGAAGGATGGGCTCTAGTTATATATATATATATTATACATATCTATATACACATATATATATATATACACATATGTACATGCACCTTGTGACTGCTACTACTGCTACTACTACTACTGCTGCTACTACTACTACTACTACTACAACTACTACCACTATAATGGTAATACCAACAGACGCCGAGGCCCCACTGCTTGCCGAGCCCTCGGCTTCGGTGGCTCGAACGGGCAGGTCAGGATTGCCATTTTGGCATCCTCCAGCGCAAACCCGCTCGGAGAGTGTTTGCTTCCAGTCGTAAGAGCTTTTGCTTCTAGTCACTAGTCGTACACCCATGGTCTTGTCTCATCTCTGTCAGCAACACGGCACTCCTGCCCTGGAAGTACTGCGAAGATTGCAGGCCATCAGTTTGCAAAGCCCTCAGCGGCCGAAGCATGCGGAGGCGGGCCTTGACTACTTTCGGCATCTGCGGATGACTAAAATCCTTGTCGACAACAATGCCCTGGATCAGGCAGGTGTCCTGTTCATGGTGCAGGGTGTGGGATTTAAGGGTTTAGGGTTTAGGGGTGCAGGGTTTGGGGTTTAGGGTTTAGGCAACGGCGTCCTGCTTGGCTTTAGCCACTCGCTCGAGCGGTTGAGGTTCTCAGCCGGGTAAGTCTCCCAAAGCCTTGAATTAAACTGTATGAAGTCCACTCACCCAGCTACCGTACCAGAAGGACCTCGCTTCATGCATATCCGAACCCGGAAAAACTTTCCTAAACACCGCTGGACCTCAGACGCATCTGAATCTCGCCGCAACAGCACTGAACTCTCAAGTTGGAAGCTCATGCTCGGGTGCTCGTGCAGCCCGAAGCCGAGCTCTCTGTGTAAACATGGTAGGGAAACGTCATGGAATAAGTGTTTAGGGTTTAGGGGTTTAGGGGTTAGGGTTGATGATGATTCGGCCGACACCGCTCTCGTTCTGAGGCAGTCCTCCAGCTTGCCGCCAACCTTGCCCTCCACCTGCCGAGCGAAAAGACCCGGGTGGCTTGGGACTTTTTGGGACGTCGGTGAGGGTTTAGTTCAGAATGGAAGGGTGTGCCCAGGGTCAAAGCAAAAAGTGCCGTTGCGAGCTGTCTTTCACCTCAAGCAGAATCTGCGTTTCATGATACCATGATATGACGCTACTACTTACGACAAAACAAAATCCTGGCTCTTGCGGAGTCCCATGCAGACTTCTGGTGCTTCCTTCACCTCTATGATAGCTAAACTCATGTGACGGTTGATCACTGTGAATTGAACTCAATCCCCTGCTGATTGGCTGCAGCGTTGAAACCTGCAGCTAAGACCGAACCGTTAAACCCTAGAGCCTTGATCCTTACCGAGCATGCTTCAACAAATAAAAGCTCGTCACAGAGACAACAGCCCCAGCGAACAACTACACTCGGCTATCAGTTTGCTCGCGAGTCTCTGGCTTTATCTGGCTCACGGAACCCCTGCACATGAGAGCAAAGGCCTTGATCAGGTCAAAGTTCACATCCTTCCGCTCCAAATCGCAGACCTGTGGTGAACTGCATCCCCCTCCTCCGTTCTTGGTCGCAGCATTTAAGGTATGCTGTCCAGGGATGACGCGGAAGTCTTTTCACTACCACCGCACTTCTGGCACCAGCAATCACGCCTCCACAACCATGCACATGTCTATGAGGTTGCCACTTGAAGAACCCCGAGAACCACGCAAACACGGAACCCCAAAATCATCTGGAAGATCGCTGTTCCATGCTCTACAGACTCTATAGGTCTGATTGTCTGCTTCCGGCTCATGGAGTAGACTGAAGAGATTGCAGAAGTTCTCGAGAAACGCTGTCAGCTGTGGACCTAGGAGGGTGAGACTCCACAGTCTTGCACTCCTACTGGTGCAAGGCGGGAACAAAACCGGACCGGTGCGTACAGGGTGAAACGTGCGACTGCTGCCGCACCCAGTCTCCTGTGGACAGTACTTGTCATCACGACCTGCCAACATGAGTGCCGGAGAAAATCCTGCAAATCCTGATAGTAGAGCCATGTAGAGCCTAGTCAGCTTCGTTCTTGCAGGCTTTTCTCCGAGGCAGCCGATCCGACGAATGATCTCAGGGCCTCACTGCTCCAATCCTGGGGCTCTTCGGTTTGGTCACAGAGGCATCGGGTCGGGGATTCTTGCTTGCCAACTCCCGCACTACGCCTTGACAGTACAGATCCCTGAAACGCCGAAGATGAAAGAGTGCATCCCAACCTTGAGAAAAAGCCGAGGGACAGCTGCTTTCGTTCGTGGCATTCGTGCCGTTCTCCTTGCTTTCGCTCGTGGCATTCTTGGACGAGGCCTTGTCCGTGCTGCTGCCCTCCGTGCTGTTGCTTTCTGTGGAGTTGTCCTTGCTCTCGGTGGAATTGCCATCCGTGCTGTTGCTCTCAGTGGCGTTGCTCTCGGTGGAGTTGCCATCCGTGCTGTTGCTCTCGGTGGCATTGCTCTCCGTGGAGTTGCCCTCCGTGCTGTTGCTCTCGGTAGCGTTGCTCTGGGTGGAGTTGCCCTGCGTGCTGTTGCTCTCAGTGGCGTTGCTCTCGGTGGAGTTGCCATTCGTGCTGTTGCTCTCGGTGGCATTGCTCTCGGTGGAGTTGCCCTCCGTGCTGATGCTCTCGGTGGCGTTGCCCTCCGTGCCGTTGCTGTCGGTGGAGTTGCCCTCCGTGCCGTTGCTTTCGGTGGCATTGCTCTCGGTGGAGTTGCCTTCCGTGCTGTTGCTCTCCGTGGCGTTGCTCTCGGTGGAGTTGCCCTCCGTGCTGTTGCTCTCGGTAGCGTTGCCCTCCGTGCCGTTGCTCTCGGTGGAATTGCCCTCCGTGCTGTTGCTCTCGGTGGCATTGCTCTCGGTGGAGTTGCCTTCCGTGCTGTTGCTCTCGGTGGCATTGCTATCGGTGGAGTTGCCCTCCGTGCTGTTGCTCTCGGTAGCGTTGCTCTTAGTGGAATTGCTTTCGGAGGCATTCTCAGCCACGGTGGTATTGCTGTCGTTGCCACCTGAGATTCGCGCAATTCGAAGCACACAATGATAAGCACTGATATATTCAGCTGAGAGTCCTTGCTGGTGGGAAGCTACCCACTCCGCCACTGCCTGCTGTCGCGCCTGCGCCTCCTGCGCCTGCCCAAAATATGGCCAACTACCCCGTAAAGCTCAGCAGCCGCGACGGCAGTTTATCGCGTCAAGTTAAGGTTACTGAACGGTTACTGGTCAGGTGGAAGGCACCACTTACATTTAAGAGTTTCCGAACATTAGGGTGCGGAAATATCGGCCGGGCATGATACGATCTTCGTCGTGAGGACATCCAACAAGGAAGCCATGATTCAAGCGGCATACTTCCCGGCGCAAAGGAGACTTCATAAGCGAGACCCACCTTGTGCATCGTGTCGAGCAAGTATCCCAGTATGGCCTGCAGGCGATTTATGGCTTTAGGCACTTTAGGGCTTGAACCAATAGCCTGAAAAAACCCGTGTTTGTCAGTTTCAAGCTGGGGCCGAGAAACACAAAACCTGGCGTTGGTACAGACACATCTTCCCACGCCCGAAGCTGCACCTCCTCTGCTGGGCCGTCATCGTTGTTATCCTGCTCCTGATGGAAGAGCACTGGGTTCCAGGAACTGGAAGGAAGGGATTGGGATAGAATTCCCGAAACCTGCGCTTTCCTACCACAGATCTCTGCGAGACGGTGGAAGACGTAGATGACCATGAGTTGAGGCTTAGTATAGTATAATGGGCCCCCAAAACCCTATTCAAATTATAAAGGCCCTTATATTCGGTCGAATGTCTGGTTAAGGTGAGGTGGCTCCTGGAAACGAGCCACACGAGTTGAGGGAAGGTCTGCAGACGCCAGACAGCCGGACAGACAGGCAGAAAGGCACAGAAGCAGAAAGTCAGGCAGGCAGGCCGGCCGGCATTCTTACGAAGTAGATGTGACTGCAGACAGAAGGTATAGAAATCTATATCTATATTCTATGTCTACAGTACACACACACACACATATATATATATATATACATATAGGCCCATATAGGCACGCACAAATAGACACATGCACGCATGCGTGCATGCAACTAAATGCACGGGCGCTGCTGGCTGAAGGCTGGCAATCTCGACTGACACGGGTGAACAAGGCCGACCCAAAACGTCCCGCCTGGAGCGTGCTGTGCAGCGCCTGGCGGAGAAGACACAACACAATGATAGCACATCCCGGCATGCTAGGGAAAATCCGAAATGCAACCTACATGCTAAATCGTGGCCGACATCACTCGCCCATGGCCGTCAAGAAGTCGGCCGACCGCCGGTGCTGACAAATAAAAGCTCGCAAATCAGTAGCCGGCCTTCTTCTGCTGCAGAAGTATAAGGTGACATTCCTGACATGAAGCTTCTGACGGCACTATATCGGTTCCTCCGTCTTCATGCTCAAATCATGCGTCACAAGCAAGGGCTTTCGGACGATGGGAGCCATTCCGCGTGACCCCGTGGCAAGGCCGTGAAGGACACCCTCTCATATGGATTTAGGGTTTAGGGATTAGAAGCCTGTAGCATACCCGTTTTACAAGGACTTCTTGACGGTACCTCCAAGTTCTTGATGCAAATCATAGCGTACAAGGGTCTTCTCCGTGGCACACATCCGCTGAGAGCGTCATGGCAATGCCTGCGCATGTAAACTGGCTACGGGCTTGCTTCGATGTGCTGTCTGCAATTTTGGGTCCCGCAGTGGGAGCAGAACACCCGACCGTGTACCGACCTTGTGAGGGTTTAGGGTTGCAGGAGGCAGTGGACCTACTATTCGAGTCTGATTGGGCGGGCTTCTCTGTTTGGGGTTCCGTTGGGACAAGCCCTTCGACGAGCTTGGGCTGCTCGGCTTTGTTGGTTACCAGAAATGCAGTCAAATATAGGCTAGATTTATATATATATATATATATATATATATATATGCGTGTGTGTTAGAGTATATTTAATAGAGTAAATATGATGTGGTTTGATGTAGTATTATAGTATTTATATTCCCGCACACTATATCGTACTATATCACAAGCCTAGGACTGCAAAGACACAGTCAACCAAAGACCCCGGCCGGCCTGCGCAGATTAAGCTGCAGAGAAACCAGGGCAGCTGAATTCGAGGCCACATCATTCGTGGTTGCAGTTGAGAGCTCACGCTCTCAATAAGTTGCAGTACCGGGGTGCCAGAACGTAGGGACGTAGAAACCCTCAGGCCCTTGGCCGTGAAAGAGGGTCTTGGTTCCGAGCCAGATAGCAGGCAGATCAAAGCAGAGCTTGAATTGAACAGGATGTAAGGTTCAGGGCTTAAGGCTTAGGGAGCTTGAATGACCGAGAACCCCCAAAGCCCTTATTCCTTAACTCAAAGAAGGATCCCTTATATGAATCAAGGTACAGGGCTGTAAGTCTCTGGGAACCATCAAAACCGTTCATCACCCAGGCTCCAGCTCGGAGCAAGCGATTCACACCAGGCCACACGTCACATGGGTGTTTGGACCCGGGTGGGAACCTAAAGGACCACATGGGGGCAATTGCTGCTTTTCTTTGCTGCAGGGTTCGAGGTTTATGGCTGACGGTGAAGTTTCCAGGTTCACTGCCTTCTGTTGTCTGTTGCGGCGGCTAGTGATAAGTCGTTCCTAAGCCTACTTGCACAAAAGCATACTGAACTTAGAACCCTGGCAAAAATTACAATTTTAGCTGTTTCTTAGGGATTATAATAACCAAAAAGTAACAATTATTTCTAAGTACCCCTAAGAAAAGCATCCAACCTAGTTGCTCCAGCCCTTCGGTCGGGCAGTCTGCAACAGAGGCCAGGCTTGCGAGTGAGAGGTTGCAGCATGGAGAGCTCAAATCAGGGCTCATACTTTTTGGAAGGAGGCTGGGCAGTGAACATCATGTTGCAGGTCAAAAGCAACAGCGCAGAAGAAGGCACTGCTTTCATCTGAGTCTCCAGATACAAATGCTGGGTGAAACTCTGGTGTGACCTACAGTTGCTATCTAAAACCCACAACCTGACTTCAGCTTCTCTGTCAAGTTTGGAGCAATATTGGCGCCTTGGTACTTCGAGTAGACTCTTGGAGTACCATAAGTATATGGGGGCTGCACAACGACGATAAAGGGGTTCTGCCTGATCTCTGTCCGTCACAACTCATCTAAATCTATCTCTTCGTCTTCACTGCTGCTCTTCTTGTCCTCTTCCTCGACACGCTGACCACGTCCGCCTCAGGCGCGAATTGATGCTTGGTTGCTTCGGGTGCGAAGTCGGAGACACCGGGTGCATCACGTTTGTCAGGATGTGATGCAGTTGGAGGGCGATGAAATGGTCCAGATTCCCACGCTACTGCTCTCATGCTGCTACTGTAATTCTAATTCTACGGCAGCTGCTGCTGCATAAGAAATAAGACCACAACACTGTTAAGCAGAAGAGACGAGTCTGCATGCATTTTCATCTGAAGGACACCCGAAAACTACTGCACAGAATCCGTTGATGTGGCCAGTTCCTAACAATCAAGGATTTGTGAGAATCGGCTGCGACTGAGTGCCCACAGGAAACAAGTGGAACCCCAAGCAGGACTTGGAGGATCATGGGACTTAGTAAGTAAGGTTATAAGTACCTTATTTGGGGTTATAAGTATAGTTACCCTAATTATAACCCTAGTTACTAAGTCCCATGATCCTTTAAGTACAAGGACTCTGCAAGGGACTTGCGAGGCAGGCGGCCGTCTCCAGCGGGAATTTCCCAAGAGGAAGGGCCTGCGGCATATCCTGTCCAAGCTTGGCAGTTTGGGCATGGCCGACCTTAAGCCTTAAGCCCAACAGATAACGACAGAGGCTCTGCATCATGCATCTCTAATCGTCGGCAACCTGTGTTTGTATTGGGACAGTTGCCCGGCTAGTCCTACGAACAGCGCCGATGCAGGATACGACAATGTCCACAATCATTGCCCGCCGATGCCTCTGCCCTGTGCCCACCTGGGAACGGCTTCTCAAGGTTTGATCCATATTGGAAGAATCCTGTCCCTAAGTCCCTTGTCAGCCTAGCACAAGCACATCCTTCTCTTCTAAGCTAAAATCTTCGGAGTCTGTTCCTTGGGCACAGGCAAGCTGCTTGGGTGTTGTTCGACTGAAACACGAGGTTGAGAAATTTGGACTGGAAAGGGCTTCGACTTCATACGTTGCGTTTCTGACATGATGCCGAGGCACAGGGTGGTCCCCATGCACCAGTATGCTGCGAGCCGGCGAACCGACACAAGCCCCAGAAAGATCCATTCATACTGGGCGGGGTATCGTGCAACCTCGTCCTGCTGAATTTTCCGGCTCTTGACAATCATGGCACCTACCTTTCATCCATTCGTGACATCCCAGCAGGTGCGGAAGGCCACTGAGCTTTCATTATCCTACTCAGGGGCTGGAATGTCCTTTGGAGTCGGAGGGTTCAGATGTGTCGTTTCTTGTCCGGTCGGGGTCAAGGCTTGGGATCCCCGCCAACTCCAGGCATCTGCGTAGCCGGGATAGCCTGGAACCTTGGTGGAACCCTTAGGAGCCCCTATAGGCCCCCTTTAAAGGAACCCTATGGAACCCTTCTAGTAGCCTTATAGCCCCTTTAAAGAAAGCCTAGGGAGTGGAAGCACGAGGTCCCAGAGTCTCGGAGTCCATCCGAATCCCTCGAACCCCCAAAGTCAGCAGCCCTCCTCCGTTCCAAAGTCAAGTCCAAAGCCTACATCAGCCAACCTAAAATCTTAACATATTGGGGAAAAAATTTTTCCCCCAATATGTTTATTTAGTAAAATCTTAACACACCTGAGACTGCGACACCCCAGGCAGGCGCCATTTGCTGCCTTGTGCTGAATGCCAGGTGGGGGGGCTCTTGAACGCGGACGAAACCAAACTAAAACAAACATTGCTGGTATTACTGTTGGTAGGATTCTTAGTGTTGGTATGATTCTGAGTGTTGGTATGATTCTTAGTGTTGGTATGTTTCTTAGTGTTGGCAAGATTCTTAATGCTGGTATGATTCTTATTGTTGGTATGGTTCTTAGTATCAGCATTATGAACATGAATTATGAGCAGGCCCAGCACCTCCAACATGCTGCTGCTAATCGGCCTAGACGATTTGCCTCGTGAGCCTAGCTGCCTTGTAGCAGGCTCCGCAAAACGAAACGTTAAGGCGCTGGGCAGCGCCTCTAGCAACAAGAAGGCAAGTGGCGCTGGAGAATCGGCCGCACAGTTTGAACTCCAAGAACCCACATCGTCCTTCAACTTTCACCAAATGATAAAGGATACGAATACAAATACTAATAGTAATACTAATTATAGTACTAGTAATATAATAGTCATACATAGTCATACAAGTTGAACTTTTGAACGATCCCGGGAAGGCAACATTAGCCAACAAAGAGGCCTGCTGGTGTCCGTATAGAACCAACACTGCACACACCACTCTGAGCAGCGCACTTGCCATCAATGACCTGCGCATCGCAAACGCAGTAGGAAGCATCAGAACTACAGTAATCAGATCAACCACAACCGCACAGAGGTCGTCATGATCGCAGCAGCCAGCAGGAATCCTGCAAAACGCCGTTCCCATCTCAGCAAAACCCGGCAGTTCTCATTAGTTCTTCTGATCCTATTCGCCTTGCTCCTCCTCCCCCCTGCTACTGCACCTGCTACATCCAGGAAAATGCTAGTAGTAGTGCTTCTGCCTGCGCTCAAAGGCGGAAACAAACTGCAAGTCTAGACCCCAGCCTCGCGGATCATGTACTGAGCACGGTACACGGCGTCTCGAGTGCCGCTGAGGCCTGGGCTGCCAAGGCTTCAAAAGTTAGACGATTTCCTTGTGACAAGTAATCCTGCAAGGCACCACCTTAAGTGCATCCTGCACTGCAAAGGCCAAAGCCCCGAAGTACCGGGACCCGGATTGAGGTCGCCACGAATGGGACATGGGTCCTGCTGGCTGTTGACGTCAATCTTCGCGCCGCTGTCGCCTCAGCGTAAAACCCTTCGAAAGTGGCTACAGTAGGATCACGAGCTTTGGCATATTAATCATGATAGTAATTTACTAATAACAGTTATAACCCTAATAAGACTAACTGAGAAGAATAGTAATCAGGATATCAAATTAATAGTGGTAGTGATAGTAATCACAAAAAAAAGACCACTAAGAATCGTAATGAGGATAAAATGACAGAAATTTACACAATAACAGCTATAAATAACCCTAATAAGACTAATAAGAATAGCAATAAGGATCTATCAGACCAAAAGGCGCTGGAGCCGCTGGATGGTTTCGCCACCTCGGCCGATCACCTGGCCCCAGGCTTTCCCAAGCATCAAAAAAGGAGACCCCTGCGTTGCTGTTTAGGGTTTAGGGTTTCGCGTTTAGGGTTTAGGGTTTCTACATCCTCTGGCTTCGGAATTCCCGGATTCGATATTCCGGCCGCAGGGCTTCATGTCGAGAGACTTTTTGGCAAGTTTTGCTGCGCAGACGATGAGACACGGGTCAGGAGCATCCTGTGCTAAAGCTGGCTTGCCCAACCGGATTCATGTCATGCACCACTGGACTCAGCTCCCAACCCGGCCGACCATGCTCTGCGGTATCTCCACCCTGAGACAGCCACTTTACGCGCTCAAGCTGGCAGTGCATGCCTTATTTATGGTCTGCCAAGGGAGAGAGAAAACTGATATAATAATGTAATTATATAGTAATATAATACATACTTATATAATAAAATATAATGATATATACTCATATAATATATACTAGTATAATACATACTAATATAAAAGTATATAATAATATATACTACAGTGCTGGCATGCATCTCGAAGCCCGGTAGCTGCCGAGAAGCGCTAAGAGGCACTAAGCAGTGGGCCACAGATCTGCAGGCTGCTACAAGCGTTCTATGTGGGTAGTTCTCCGAACTAGGGTCCCTGTTTAGGTCCTTTTTCAACTTCAAAAGGGGCCCTAATGTGGAGAACGTCTCACCCTAGTGTATGGACTTTGGCGCAAACTATCACATGCTTTCTAGTAGCCAGGAAACCTAAGGAAGCAGTAACATTAGTGAAAACTACCGGTGGTATCATTATTCTCATTACGATTATTGTCCTGATGATCATAAAAACTAGTATGAA